AAATTGTTTATTTCCTTTTATGCAAAATTTACGATGATTTACGGTATTGAGAGCACAAGGTAGGTGAAAAAACAACTACTCATCCATTTAAGCTAATTACTTCAAGTTTGGTGCAAAAATGCATGATCGCACTGGCTCTCCGAGTGCGTTCCAGCCTGGGTCGTTGATTGGTTTTGATGAAAATGAGTATCGTTGTGTTGGAGTACACAGAACCATTCAAATAGCCACGTTCTTGTTTCTTAGGCAGTGCTCTGGGGAAGAGAATTTATTACCTGTCCCTGGAAGGTTTTCGCTGAACTACTTTTAGTTTCTTTTCATTAGCATCTCAAAGATAGCAGTCGAAATGCGTGAATTATTTGTAATATTTGTAATAACACCTTTTTCAAATATCCTTTATAACAAATTTTGTAATTTCTTCAAATATTTGTAGCAACAATTATTATTGCAAACATTTCAAACATATTATTACAAATATATGTTGCTATGCAAATATTGTTACAAATATTACAAATATTTGTTATTACAGCTATGTGAAATATATGCAGTAACTTCTTTTCCAGGGGCCTCTTACGGCTCTTTGATAAAAGGGACTTCAGTCCCCACCGCTATTAGTCTATTGCTACAGTCCTGCTCTCGAGTACTGCAAGAAAACGAAAATATTTTGCTAGCTTTACCAAAGAGTGATTACACAAAGCATGCATCCATACCGCTGAAACTCTGCGTTTGATTTTACTGGGCACTTTTAGGCATACGCTTACTCGGTGGATCTATCGAAGCGAGATGAGATCTACCGAACGGCAGAGCAGGTGAAACGAGATGTCGGCGACGTCACTGTGCTTGTCAACAATGCTGGAATCGTTTTTGGCAAGTCAATAATGGATAGTTCAGATGAGAAAATCCAGAAAACACTGGAAGTTAATGCACTGTCACACTTCTTTGTAAGTTGCACTCAGTGATTGTGAAACAAGAATCCTTTTGATTGACCGTGATTACTGTAACTGCTCAAATCTGACAACGAATCGATCTCCGTTCCCTTTATCCAGGGTTTGATATAGGATGATTTGATAGTTTTAAAACAAAACAGTGCGAGAAAAGACTTAAATAAGAATAATGATTCTAAACAGGAATGTTTAAACTCATTAAGTTGTGCACTATTCATATTTAGTACCACAACTTAACTTCGTCAGTTGACTAAAGAGAAGTGAATAAAATAAGTAGCAACGCGTACCAGACTAGTCAGTGCGATCATGCGTTTTGTGCAATTCAGCCCATCGAATGATTGTCTGTTAATGATTTTCACTGCTT